CCAGATATAGGGGGTGAACACCCCCCCTAAAATTTCAAACACCCCCCCTAATTTTGAGGTGCGATTCCACACTGAGGGGTTCTAAACCGCAGTCTGCGGGCCAATTACGGCCCGCGTAACGATTTTAAATGGCCCGCCGAACTTAAGTGAAATAGTTTAACCCTTCGTGTGGTACCTTCTGAGTTTTAGATACCGTCTATTGTTACATCATTATCAGTTTAAGCACGTTTATTTCATAACAATTGAATTATTCCGGTATCTTATGTATAGGTATGGGTATTATGATTACACACTGCAGTATTTTAGATATCAGCCATATATTAAGAAAGCTTAAAGATGTCACAAAACAAAAACTAGGCACTGAAAACAGACGTTTTTTAGATGGATGACAGCGTTTTTATTTCTTTATTGAAAAGAATCAAACTTCAGCGATTTGTCTTCTTACAAAATATTTCAGTTCTGAAGGAATACAACATTATGCGACATTATGATCAGTTGACGAGCGTATTTCAAAATTTGATTCATACAAAAGTCAAACAAACATGTTCAAAAAAATTAGAAATGTGTAACAAAACAAGCCATAAGTAGCCATTCATACAATGCCAGATGAGCAAGTAACTTCATTAGTCACTATCAGTTGCATATTACTTGTTGAAACGTAGTAGTATATATTTACGGTTGAAAGCCGTGCTTGTTATCTATTCCCCGAGAATTCTATCAGCTAAATATTATAATTATTGATTTTATTACATAACAAACTGCGATGCTAGGTGTATCTAAAATCAAGCTTAGAGCCTATTTTGATGCCTATTTCTCAAAATTTTCTCAGGGCGCTTAAGCGCGACCTGAACCCCAGCCGTGTCGTCCCGCACTTTTCCTCGCTCCCCTTTTCTGGCCCTACAATTTCATTCTGCTGTGGATTTTGGCTCGCCGTCAATAAACTTGACCCCCCCCCCTATACATCGTTTCTTAAATACATACCATTTTTTTAAGAATACAAATAGTCTAGTTTTATCTCTAATAGCAAATTATTTACCACCCCCTAAATTTTGAAACACCCCCCTAAAGAGAAAAGCTGGGGAACATACTGGTAGGCGCTGATGGCAAATAGATGTTTGCTCGAAAGCAAAATTTATGATTCCTAATTATACTTCTTACCGGACTTTATTTGGGCAAAAAGCGCGAGTAAATGGCATATAAACCAGTTTACAGGTACACACATCAACTAGACAAAAAGTAAAAAAAGAACGGCCCGGAGGTTTGGCGCTTCGTGCGAAGCGTTAGGGTATCGAGCTCTGATCACCTTGCATGGCTTTGCAGGTTCATACCCAACAGAGAGAAAGGGAAAGATTATTATTTTATTTTCACAAAATACTGCTAAACAAGAGAGCAATGCTATATATATGCTACAAAATATATGAACACGCAAAGCAATTCCCCAAAAACCATATGCGTTGAATTACCGATACCTGTATCGGGGTATCGTGACAGTACAGTACAGGGACTGTCATAGCTTTTTGAGGTCTTGTGACAATAATCCGTTCATTTTGATTATGTCTAAATGTGAATTAAAATATCACATAAAATTAGTCACTTTTGTATTACCGGATCAGGTACCGTACCGCAGTAAAACATTGCCCATAATTAAACGTCCTAAAATCATATGCGTTAACTTACCAGCCCCTGAATCAGGGCACAAATAACAGTAAAGGGACCTCTATAGCATTTCCATGTCCTGTCGCAATGATCTATTCTTCTCCATTCAATTTTAACATGAAATGAAATACCAACCGTTTATTGTGCCCAATGCGCTACTCACAATGAGACTTTTAGGCTACCATCACTAATGTCCCGGTCTATACCGAAAAACTTTACATGTGCTATTGTATATATTTTTATTGCTGCTATTTCAGTGTTTTTTCTGGTTGACGAAAAATAAATCTCTCTCTCCCCCTCTCCAAATGATCCGAGTCACTTCTCCATTACCAGGGCAAAATATTAAAAAAAAAATCGATTCCCCGATATTCATATGCCGTACGGTAACCTACTAGTGCTTGTCGGGATAAATAGTTCATCGTTTGTGTTACAGATGGACCGGCACACGAATTTTCAAGATCCTGTAACGATTCCGTTTCAACGTGAATATAAATACCAACTGAATCGATTTATCATGGTATTATTATAAAGGCAGATACCAAAGTCTACAAATATACTGACAACAAGCGAAGAAGTAATGCAGTAGTTTACCTTACCTTTAGCATTACCGGTAACCTCAAAAAACTCCCTAGTTTCGAGGAGCAAGAATTTGCAAAATCAGCTGTCACGCTTGGCGGATTAAAAACCGTGTTCCATTTAAAAAGTAATACAGCCAAATTCTGGATGAAATATCAGATTTCATAGAATTCATACAAAATTTAAAAATAAATAAAAGTTATAACACTCTAGAGAAAAATTTCATTTTTAGCCACTGAAAATTTCAAAGCAATCGGTCTAGTAATCAAAGAGAAAATCATGTTTTTTTATTATCGATATAATTCTGTGTCAAAGAACAGCAAAAACAATAACATAACAAGTGAGCTATGGTAAAATATATGGACACGTACGACAAAACGAAATAATTTATCATCAATTCACGGAAAATCATAGGGTATCCTGAACGAAGCTTAACAGTAAAACAGCTACAGGGTTACAATGCCGTGACTTACCCAGCACGACACAGTTTACCGATTCCAATAAAAGCTCCCACATTAATAGACATTGATCATAACAGTGAGTGCAAGCTTCGCTTTTAAGAGACAATTAGTGTAGTGTTACTGTGCTGTGTTACGGTGCCGGGACTGACCTGTTTCCACCAGTTCCTGTCTTATGTCTATAAACACATGAAAGTGCGGCATACACCCCTTATGATAAGCATAAAATGCAATAAATCAAATAAGTATAATATGGTCCTTTATACTGACAGTTGTGCGAGGAGGGTGGTTTAGGCAATATGAGTAAGGGTGGAGTATGCCCAACTGTGTGTACAAAAGAGTTGGTAGGACAAGACATCATCAATAAATAGAGACAATATAGCATAAAATATAATACATGTAAACATAATAATGAAATTTGGACAGATAGCACCCTCGAGTCAACATGAGCAAAGCTCATCCACTAGAATCAAAGAAGTTTATGGATAAAAGATTGGATTTAAAGTTAAATGGTGGACGATTTGTTACGGGTATATTGCGAGGTTTCGATCCTTTTATGAATCTAGTTGTGTATGATGGAATAGAGCGTAGAAAAGATGGAATCACTGCACCTGTTGGAATGGCTGAATGGTGGTCGTTCGTGGAAATTCGATATTAATGTTGGAAGCATTGGAACGGATACAATGATTTTAAAGTGAACTAACCAAAAACGACAAAAGAACCCAACACTCCAATCCATGATTTGTGCATAGACTGTTATGGAACATCCAATCCATTTACCAAGCTTGTTTTTTGGTAAAAAAAAATTGTCTCTGTGTTATTTTGCAATATGATTGAAGGAGGCCCACAACATCACCATTTTTCGTCAGCGAGTGTTCTTTAATCCATATATCTGTATAGGAAAAGCACATACACGTCTCACATTTTAATTTGAATTTATAAGATATTGCACGATGTCACGTCGTGTTTTTGTTTTATTGTGTTTTGCCTGTTTTGGGGGGACGGGCACGTACTTGTACGTATTTAACTTTTTTATTAAGTTATGCCCGTCCTCCAGGTCCTCTGTATTTTGTTTGTCCCTTTGTTGTTGTTTTGTGTTTTGTTTGTATCAGAGTGACCGAATAAAATTGATTGATTGATTGATTGATACCCCATACTATAAATGGGAGAAATTGAAAACATGATTTCGTGATTCACGTTATAGCAGAAATTTTTATTATCTCAATACGGGTTATTATGTTCTTCGTGCGGCTGAGAACTTACATCGAATTATTCCAATTTATGTTTAAACATCCCGAGAAAATGAATTTTAAGTTAATAATAACAGGACGAAACATGTTTTTAAACGCTAAAGTCCACTAATTTGATTTCTAGGGAGGTCTTTGTTAGAAGTCGCGAAGTTGTTAGTCGTTGGGAAAAACTAATTCAATGCTAAAAGTGCAGTCAAGATTTAAAAGCAAAGTTTTATGGGATCAAAGGTCATTGAAACGACACAACACCGATTTTGCTAAAAACATTACGGTACGCGGAATGCAGACGACGGGATGGAGTACCGGTACCGTACCGTAGGCCTACTGCTACCTGTACGGTACCGGTACCGGTACCGCACAATATCGTGCTGGTGGGTTATGACTTCAATTATCCAGATACCGGTACGGTACCCACAGTATAGGTCAGCGCTCAGCGGCTCTCAACCGGGGGCCTATGGCCCATCAGAGCAGTTGGCGAGGGGGCCACAATCAGACAATGCTACTTACCGATATGCTAGATCTACAAAACTGATTTTAATTTTGATAACGTGAAAAATCTGAACAAAATTTTGTCCTAACCCTAACATGGTACACATACTACAGGAGTATCCTTTTCTGTAGCCTGTTATTTTGCTTTATTTTTTATATAGGTAAAGGCTTTGCGAAAAATAAAAAATTGGATTGTATCCCGCGATTTTTTTTGGTTCGAATATTGACAATTTTGTAAAAATTGAAAATTTTGGTAAGATAATTGAATTTTTTCTGATAGGGCCGCGGGCCGCGGCCCATAGCTTGATGGCTCACGGCGTTTGTGGCCCAATTAGATGAGTCGTGGCCCCTGCCCATGGGCTGTAGAGGAGTCACCACCCCTGTAGCAACTAGAAGTACGGTACCCACCTAACTAGAAGATATGTTCTAGCCAAATGGGGCACCTGTATCGTTCCTGGTAAGACTGTCTTTTATTTGAAAAAGGGTAACAATTTGGGCAGTCTTATTACATCACATTTTTGTTTGGCATATTTCAGTATTTAAGCACTTACGGCGTGAACTTTTTTGTATTCCATATCGGTAGAGAAGTTTAAATTATATTGAAATTATTTTTCAATTTAATATTAGATACAAGAAAATATATCCATGTTTATTTATATAGGAAGTATTACTGTATTATGAGACTTCGTAGCGGAAAACTTGCAAGACTTGGCACAACGCACAATCCTATAAGAACAAAGAGAACCATGTCCAGGTCCATGACCCACTACAAAGCAAGAAGTGATATATACCCAAACTCTGATAAAAAAAGATTTAAAATTCCGGACAGCAAGGTGTCCTGGAAAGTGGACTATCCGGACTACAAACCAGACGAGTTTACGGCCCCAGTTGTGAAGAAAGGGCCAATTTGGGCAGACCCCGACATTTCTGATAAGAATCCACATAAGCCCATCAAATTTAATCAAAAGGACGGACTGGTTAACAGAATAAGTTTTGAAGGATCATATGAACTTGTGGATAATAAACCAATCAACCCTAGAGGGAGAACAGGGCTTACAGGGAGGGGTTTGTTGGGTAAATGGGGTCCAAATCATGCCGCTGACCCAATCGTTACTAGATGGCGTCGGGATAAAAATGGAGACTTGTTGAAAGATGAAAACACTGGAAGACCAATATTGCAGTTTGTGGCAGTGTTGCGAAAAGATAATGGTGAATGGGCTATACCTGGTGGTATGGTAGATGCTGGAGAAAAAGTTTCTTTAACGCTGAAAAGAGAATTTGGTGAAGAGGCACTCAATTCGCTGAAATATTCTGAAGAAGACAAAAAAGCACTAGAAAAGTCGTTTTCAAATCTATTTTCAAAAGGCCATGAGATATATAGCGGTTATGTTGATGATCCAAGGAATACAGATAATGCATGGATGGAAACTACAGCAGTGAATTTTCACGACAAGGATGGAACGAGTTTTGCAAAAATGCCATTAGAAGGGGGAGATGACGCAAGGTCTGCACGATGGATGGATGTTTCTTCAAGTCTTAAATTATATGCTAGTCACTCTTCATTTTTGAAGTCAACTGCTGAGTATCACAAAGCACACTGGTGATTGAAGAAAAAAAAGTTGAATTGCTGTTTTAGATTTTCAAACCAGCATCGAAAGGTTTCGCGATACCTAACGATACTTACTAGCTTATGCACTTGATCTAATCCTATAAATAAACATGTGATACCCTATTTTTTGTTGGTATGTGTACTTGAATATATGTGTATTATCTCAATAAATTAAAATGTCATAGAGTGCAGTAGACCTGTTGCTCAATTAATAACAAGTAAAACGTCAAACATGATTGGTCTTTACATGTAGAAGTATACCAGATATATTTCACAGAATATGTTATTGTCAACTGTATGCTTCAATAATCACTGATCAATCAATCCATTTATTATGTTCGAAGCATGCCTACTTACCTTTATGATATTTTTAAAATGGGGATATCTAAATATTGTCTATACTATATAAAACGCCACTGTTTTGTGTATTACCTGAAACTTAGCACAATTTATTATTAAAGAACAAAACACTTTTTTCTTCATTCACTATATGTAGATTTTTTTTATATCTCACCAAATTGAGAGCAACTCCGCCACAGAATTAGGCACCTATATCTGCAAAAATTTTCTGATTATATCAATGACTTTATCCTTAGTTACGGGATAATTCAAGAGAAATAATTTTTTTATTACAAAATGTTATTTTTTTGGCCGCTTACATGCTATTATGACATGGTAAATGAACTCATTTTGTCTATATGTAGCACGGTGTCTAAGCATTCATGTTCTGCATGACTCATAGTACATTTATTATACATTTTGTGCTAATTTTCTTGACCACACCTATACGTTTTATTTTACGAATGTCAACTACCTATATTTTACAGTATTTTTAACAGCTATATCGACAAATTTTTGGCAGAAAATGTCACTAAATTTTATCAAATAAGGTGTTAGTTGTTCCGATAGAATAATTCTAAACAGGATAAAGAAAAAAATCTTCTCAATGTTGCTTATATTTTGTCAGGTTTATGAGACTACTGTTAGTCTATATATCCATCTTTTATTTGTTCCCATTTGCTGTGTAGCCTACATAGATTTTATATAACCATTTATTCTTATATAATTTTATATGATTTAACATATAAAGATGTAATTGAAGTTTTCACTAATTGCTTTCATTATTGTAGTACAACAATGTTTGCCCTATGTATAGTTCGTAATAAAGGTGGCATTTGACATAACATTCACGCATGATATTGTTATTAATATAATCAGAAAATAAATTTTTTTTTCTAATTTTCGAAGTGAATGCCATTGAGTAACATGATATCATGGTAAATTCAATCTATGACATGAGTTGTAGCAGGAACAAGTTATGAAATTAAAATACCCGTTATAAGATGCTACCCTGTATCCTTTAACTCACAAAAATAAAGTTTACAAATCGGAAAGTTTTCTCACACAAATTGATATCGTTAACAAATTTTTTAAATGTTGCTATTTGTCATGCATATCGTATAATTATATCCATATTATTTTGAACGTTAGGTAATTTTTTCCTCATTGTTTTTATTTTAAACTTATTCTTTTTTCTTTTCCAAGGGGGTAAATTTCGGTTTTTAATATAATTTTGACAATAATATAATTTGTTGACGGGATATTTCATTAAGTCGTTTTCATGCAATGCAGCAAATTGATATGAGTCTAAGTACTGGTAATTTCACACTAAATCCGAACTAATTCTCCCTTGCAAAGTCGCATCTATATCATCAATTATTCTATTACCAACATAAAAAAACAATCTGCTTCGTCAACCCTGAGTGTTTTTTCAAGGTGAAAATTGAGCACAAAAATTATTTCAATTTAATAGATATGTAGCTATTCTATGTTTCTTAGATTATATGTATAATGTAATTGTTACCATATTAATCACAACTTCAATATACTTCATAGTATACTATTCACAAAAATTTATTTTTTTCGACTAACGTGTATTAACATTGTGATCGTATTTTATATAGTTCTATATTCTTTAATAAATATATGTGGCATCAGTAAAACTTCGAGGATTTCTTTCATAAAAGAAGAAAAATAAATGATGTCTTCACGGTCATTATGGATGGGTGATGTGAGTTTTATGTACCTACTTTACTCACTCCAAGATATTTTGAATTGCCAGGCGTCTTTCTTGTACGACATTACCTACCCATTTATTACACCCAAGGTGGTGTGGAAAGCATGTGATTTGAAAGTATAACCTTTGCGACGCAAAGAAATTGGAATTGTTCACACTTTTCAGATTAACTAAACTAAAAATTTGTTTTGCGGGCACACCATTAAAAGTTGGCACTTTCCGTGGGCCGCTCAATTTTTATCTGCGGGCTGTAGTTTGGACACCTTCGATCTACACCATTATTGCACAACTTAATAGATGCTCATTTTTCAATGAAATAGTAATATTTTTCAAAGAGCTATATTTTGAATTTGGTTTTGAATAACATTGAGTGTTGCTAGGGTTTTGATTGATAACGTCCAAAACAAAATTTCCTTAGTAACACGTTGGCTACGGTGGCATAGTATGAGTATAAAGAGAAATATTCCTTTGTCTGTAAAAGCCCGATTGTGTTGTAATAATATTTCAATATTATACTTTGTGTTTGGAAGTGAAGCATATTATTTGCCGAACTAACCTAATATTATGAATAAATAGCTTCAGGAAATAACCCTACAGTAGCTAGCTAGTGTACATTTCCCATGCTGGATAAACTATTTCTCTAAAAAAATGCTTCGTTTTTATTTTTAAGCCATTATCAATTCATATTCTAGCAAAGTAAAAACGCTCGGATTCCAAACATGAGGTATGATTAGGGTGTGGCATATCTCATGCTTGATCCTATTTTTTAATTTTAGCTGGAACCATACATGGATGAGACGTTCGTAACCTATGTATTTCAAAGCATTAGCTCACAAGTTATCTCTGTGAAGACTATTAAAAGGTAAATTTTCCTATATATATATGGCTATTATCAATTATTTATAATAGCAATGTTTGAAGATTGTTATGCTTCAGCAAACAATATTCTGCTAGTTTCTGACTATGTCTTTTTTTTCAGACGTGACAATGGACTTCCTGCCGGTTACTGTTTCATTGAATTCAGGACAGAGGAAGAGGCAGAAAGAGTTTTAAAAGCAGTGAATGGCAAAGAAATACCTGGAACAACCCCAGTGTGTCTTTTTTTAATTTTTTTTTTTACAAGTTACCGATTACGGTAGTTTCAATTAAATCATATTGAGAAATTCCATTGCGTATAATACAAAATTATTTCCATATTTTTCAAATGCCACTTTATTAAAAAAAAATATTGTGTCAGTATATAAGCATTGGCAATGTAATTATTTCATTTGTTTAGACAAGAAGATTCAGATTGAACAGAGCACAAGGTGGAAAGAACTGGGACATTGGGTAAATCTATTAGTACATTTTTTCGAATTCTTTTTGGCTTGCAAGATTTTGATTATTGATGACTTATAAAACCATAAATAATTTGAAGTACAACATTTCTTAAAATGTAGTTTCTATGTACGGTAAGTGCCCAGCAATACTCATGTATATAAAAAATCTCCCACAGGATTCAGGCGAGTGGCTTATCATGCTAACTGCCAAGCATTATTTCTACTCCAATTGCCCTGCATGAGTTTGATGTTTCGAATCCCATAAAGACAATTATGTGCAAGAGGATTGCTGAACTTCTCGTCGCCAAAGGGTGGTTCACGTAACCCCTGGTCGGTTATGGCTTTCTCCGCTAACAAGACCGTGCATCCGAAACAAATATCTGGTTAACTAATCCCATATCCGACATGGTCTGGTAATCGGACTAGAAGCTGTGATTAGCCATATGATTAAACTGTTTTGTCAACTTTCCTCTCTCAGGATAAATATGTTAAATGTTCTAGCCTATCCCTCAAAGCTATGCAATGTAATCAGGCTTTGTGATGGTAATTTTGGCACCAATGTCTGGCGGGGATTACAAGCCCATGATATATGACAGAAATATTTTTAGTTTGGCACTATTTTGGACCACTGACTGTACTAAATCATAATTTTTGGTTTCAGTCCATCATTTTCCATATTTGTTGGTGATTTGGACACTGTAGTAACAGATGACAGACTGGAAGATTTTTTTCTTAAAAAATACAGAAGCGTAAAAGGCGGAAAAGTTATGTATGATGAAAGCGGAGATTCAAGGTATGACTAGATACTTAAATTTCATTCGAAAAACTGTGAGCAAACCAGAAACAGGGTCACATGACTTGATTAACCAACTTCATTAAATATTCAAAACGAAATAAATGATGGAATACTTGTCTTATGTACAATATTCTAGTAAATTTCTATGAATATATGTTCATACATATCTCTTAATATTATAATATAGGATATTTTACTTTGGATAGGATAACAAAGAAAATAAACAACTCAAGTACATCATAGCAGTGTTGCGGATGCTTTGGTCATTAACCTAAAATTATTTAGGCTACAGGCACCATTTATTGAAGACTCGGAAGTGACTCATGTCACATAAATCGAATGATGCAAACACTTCATCATCTAGCTGCCAGTGAGTCGTAACCCATGGAATGACTCTACTCTAGACTCAGATGACCTGTGGCACTGGGTTTAGGGCAGGATCGTGCAACAGGTGGGGCCAGAGGGTCACAACCCGGCCTGACAAGACATTTAATATGGCCTTTGTCAACACTCAGATTTTCCCCATCAAGCATAAAATCCCAATCTGACAGTTTGTTTAAAAAGGCACTCACATGGGTAAAAATTCATATTATTTTTTTCTTTTGTCACTGCCTTAAATCTTTCTTCGTTTTGCACGGTGCCTTTACTACTGTAAGGCCTTAAGCGATAGTTGCATTTTTTCCTCTTGCCTACCCACGGCGCTCTGGTTTTCGCTAATGTATTTCATCAGTTAAGGGTTGCTACAGACAACCTCTGTTGAACCTGATTTCACCAAACAATGCAAGAAATCGAAATTTCAATGTTCAAAGGTTAAATAGATAAAATTTTGCATTGTGAGAATTTATCAGTTTAATTCAATTTAGAATTTTCCCAATAAACTTTTTGTGTAGCTCAGTCAGATTATATAGCCCGCCAACAAGAAATATTGTTTTCAGGGGTTATGGTTTCGTCAGATTCGGTGATGAAGCTGAACAGAAGAGAGCATTGTTAGAAATGCAAGGTGCAGTAGGCCTTGGTACCAGAGCTATTAAAGTCAGTCATGCAACTCCGAAAAAGTGAGTGCATAGCCGGGTATGGATTATGGGCCCACTTAAGACAAAAAAATATTATAATTTTTAATTTGGGAATTTTTTTATTCACAAAGCATTTAAAGTTAATAATTGTTTTCATTTAAATTATATTCAATAAACATTTTCGTCATGTCAATTAAAATAGAAAAACAATTGGCATTCTTGATATTTACATTTTAATTTATTTACTTATATTATATTCCAAAATGGTTTAGTATTGAAAAAATCCAGAATTTGCTAATTTTACTTCCTTGTTTGTTAACCTACTGAACCCCTTTGTTCTAGCAAAACAACAGATCAAACGAGCACAACACAATCATATTCAACTTCTAGTCAATGGTGGCAGCAATACCAAGATTATAACCAATATTACCAACAATACTATAATTATTATAACTACCAACAGGTAAAGTAGATAATGAGAAGTGAAAAAATATTATGGTATATATAATTATTATATATCAGTATCCTTTGGAAGAGCTAGTATGAAATACACAATGTGATATTTCTAATAGATCAGTCATCAGTGGTTCTCAAACTTTTTCAGTCGCCCTTCCTTTTTAGAATTTGTCAAGTCTCGCCCTCACGTCCCACCTCAAAAATAACTATCTAACAGTAAGCTATAAATAGTAAGGCGAAAGTATATTTTCAAAAAATATGTGGATAAAATGTAAATATCCAAAATAAAGAAATGTATATATCGGAAATAAAGCGGGCAAGATCGAATCTAACAAAAAAATTTATTTTTAATTAGCTTTGATTTGTCAGGTGTTACTCAATGTTTTTTCGATAATTGAATACACCATTTTTACTTTAAATTCAGCAGCAGCAGCAACAACAACAGCAGCAACAACAAAATTATTACACAACAGCGCAACAGTCTCAACAATACTCAGCACAAACTGCCACATCTCCTGCATATCAAAATAAAAGATCTGATAAATTCGAAGGTAAGATTCAGATTTCTGCTGCGAATTCATTGAGTGTAAAGGATTTCTGGTTCTCATGTCAACCACCTCGCTCTGAGTGTAAAAGATTGTGTAAGATTTCAGTTCTTTCCAAAAATGGTAGCAAATTACATATCAGTGGTAGTTTGTACATGACATCATTGTGGGTGGAGGTGTTATAAAATGCCATAAAGAAAATTGCTTATTGTTTTTTAAAAATCCAGTCTGATTATCAGGTTTACCTTTTACCTGTGACTCCTGTTTTGAAGTTGATTCATGTATTGATTTATAATTCAAACACATTAGACGATAAAAATTTCTGCCCCTGAGTGTAGTTAGTCTAGCATATTCATGTCTACTACCCCATGAATCTGTAACAACTATGGTAGGTTATGTACGACCAGAAATTCAAAACATTCGTTCATGTAATTCTCTAATCGTATAGAATTATCATTCTTTGTGTGCTTCATCTTACCTATGCCCACTTTGCCATCATCTGAAAATTTCATCTTTAGATCCTGGAGGATCGATCAACATTGCAGTCGAAAATGCAATTTATATGGCTGAACATTCAGGATTTATTGATGATTTTGTGGATTGTCATTGGCAACCTCTAGACACAATCACATCAAAGATACCAGAATTGACTACAACGTGACATACTCTGCAAAGTCTGAGCAACTTTGCATGCACTGTTATGTCCTGATATAGTGACTTTGGTTATGAGCCAATGACAGAGAATCATTAAAATATCTGTTTTAAGCTTTGGTTCAGGAGGGATAGTTGATTTGATTTAGTTCACAAAGTTTGTGCATTGCACTTTTATGATAGTGCTTATTTGATTTATTGGTAAGGCGATTCAAAATACATCTTGATGGGTTTAAAATGTTGAATGTTTTGGTAATATATACAGATAAAAGGAGAAAGCTGTCAGAGCATATGTCGCACCGGTGGGTTTTCTATGAAATTTTCTCGAAAGAGTAAAAATAATATATAAAATTGTAAATCTAGCGTGAAGCGCGTTGTGGTGTATAGATAGCAACTTTTTACAAGTGAAACTTCAAAACACTTTCTTATCATAATGTTCTGCAGATGCCTACATGCAAATACTGTAAACAATTAGACTCTTCAAAACTCGTTTGGTGCGCCCTCCAGCCTAATATACATAACATATCAACTTTATATGATAAACATATCACAACAGAGATCGACCAGAAAAATGATCAGCATTCTGCCGTTGAGTTGTATCGCAATGTGTCAGAGACCATCTACCGTCCGGAAAACTATTACAGCGATAACCCGGCCACTATGGTTGGCAGCTACGAACCGGGTAAATTCGAAAGCACGGCACACAATGTACGAGCTCGCTAAAAAACCTTTATAACTTGTATTTGTTTCAAAATGTTTTGTTTTCAAAAGTTCGTTGTTAGCAGGAAATGGACTGTCGTAACCTGATACGTGTGATAATTAATAAATTTCGTCCAAAAATTTAGAACGGTAACTCGGAATAACTTAGGGCGGGCTGGTCCAATGTTGCGAGATTGAAGGGTAGCAATCAAAAAATAAAAGTGCTCTAAATATTGCGAGTTTACTTACTTTAATTGTATTGAGAATGACAGTTTATCGTTCTAATCAGCATATTGTTATGTTGCATAAGTGGCGTTTTATTTTTTATTTTAAGGAAGATATATAAAGCATTGAGTTATTTCAAAATTGCTTCTCTGTGTCCTAAACCTGTGTCAATTTATGTATTTATTTATGTGTTGTATTGGGTGGTAACTGACTCAGATGACCGTAAATAGTCTTATCGTTAATATTCGTTACCTCCCAGTCATAACGAAAACTTTCGTTTCACTTATTTTATTATTATTATATTGTTTTCTGGTTGAAGAAATATTAAATTCTCTCTCTCTCTAGTTAGAGCTGAGCATTTCAAATCGAATAGTAAATTATTCGAATCGGTTCTGGCAAAAATTTCAAATCGCCGTCATCTTGTTTAATATTCCGCCAATGGTCAAAATGATTTCCTCAATTTTTTTCATTGAGGCCAAATTTTTACAATGAAATTAGATCAGGGTGGTTCAAACCCTGGCACATTCCGTGTGGCCCGCAGAACAATTTTAGCCTACTAAACTAAGCTAAACCATTGGCCACAGATATTTGTATTTACTGGCAGAAAATTTTTGATTTTTCTTCAGCTATTCCAACTGGGATTGGGATTCCGAGATTTAAACACTTTTCCTAATCCCGATGACGGGAATGATATTTGTTAAAATCACGAAATTTCAAAATTGTACCTATCTATAAACGTCAAGACGGTAGCAATATGATGGATGGATGTCCTGTGATCGGATGAGATCGCGCGTCCATACGCCGCTGGCGCTACCATACGCGCCGGTACATGTCGCGACAGCCGTACAAGCGCTTCTTTGTCTAGAAATGTTCAAGCGATGACAAGTGAAAGATGAGATGAATTGCGGCACATTTTTGAATTGCAGTTGATGAAATATGTTTCTTATTGTGTGTGAACATTCAGCAAACTGTCTGAGTGATGGATTTTATGTTTTCAGTAATTTATGTGCTTGCACTTATCAAACAGCACTATGACGCCGAAAAAGAAATTACGTAATAAACCTACGTAACTTCGTCTTCGGTAAAGTGGTTGAGACGGCAGAAACAACAACAAAATAAAATTACTCGCGGACCGGCGGTTGGGAACCACTGCTGCATAAGGTACATCTGCTGCGCGATCAATGTTTTTACTTAGTATTTGCTTAGTAGAATATCTACGTAAAAATGCCCCCTTGGGGTTTTAAAATATAATTTAAACTACGTAATGCACGGAGGGGGCTTTATCGAATGTACAGCGTTACCCCAAAACGGAACTCTTAAATTTATTAGAATATAGACAAAGTTTCAGAAATAAAGGACGATTTGTCTAAAAGGTATGTTCTCTCTAAAACATGTTCCAGATTACCTCCTTGATCACTCGTCCTGTAGTGAAAAATGGTCAATATATTTGTGAACCCATTATCTTTAATCCAAGTCTCGCTAAAGCCTTTCAGCCAATCGTAAATGTACAGACGTTGGAATATAATTTATGCTAAAAAGCAATAATATATATATATATTATAGGACCTAATAATATAGATTATTCATGACAGATCAACAGTAATAAATATAGAGTAGGCAAAAAGATGACAGCCGACGAAATATTGCAACGCCTGGGACCCACGGGATCTTATCAGAAAAGATTGATTTTTATCGTGCTCATATTTGCCTTCGCTAATGCATGGGCTCCATTATCTGTAATATTTACTCACTATGAACCGAATCATCATTGCAAAGTCAACCTAACTGAAGAGATGAAGGTATGATAACCAACTGTTAAATAGCATTATCGCAAAGAGATATATAAATCGTTGATGTTGCATTTTTAATGCAGGACACCGGTTGTTGACCGCCCCAAGGAATTTATCACGAGTAGAACAAATAGCGAAATTCGTGAATATGTGTAAGCAAAGATTTATTCTAATCGCGCTAAGTCATACTTGAAATATTGTGCAACAAGATTCTTGAATCCCTTAGAATAGTTATCTGATCTCTGTAACCCCAAGCTGATACTTACGTATACAACATCATTGTTGAAAATATTCTGGTATGCCTCCAATACCAGATTAACCGCAGGCTATACTACCCTGTATGGTGGCCAGAGATACTCATTTAATAAGGCGGCTTTACGATGATATATACTTGGATGCCAAATGTAAATGTACTTTATCATTTATTGCACCAATATTACTAGTAGTAGAGTGATTAAGACAAATCAAATGTGTTTATATTTAAACAGAATAAATGCAATAATACGATTCCGTGGGTTGTAGACGAAAATGGCGTCGAGGTACGGAGCTCATGTCTCATGTACAACTTTACAAAAAGTGGTGACGAAGACAATTGTCCCGGGTTTGAATTAAACAAAACTGTTCAATGTTCAGAATGGATTTTTGAAACAGAAGATGATGGAGGAGGAACAGTCGTGAGCGAGGTGGTACAATTAAATATGTTTGTAACCTCCACCAAAACAGCCTATATCTTGTCAATTAACAAAATTTTGTATTATTTGGCTATACGAGACAACTTTATCAATATTCAGGTTACACTGGAAGTTTCCTATGGCTATATATATACATATGAGAGCGCAACGTCCTCAAAAATAATAACTAACGCTTTCTCGACGTTACCGCATGCATTTTAACTGCTTGTACCACTACAACTACTGTTATAGCGTTAATAAAGTCCCTGTTTCTCTAACTTTTTCAGATGGGTCTCGTATGTGACAAGGATTGGGTTATGCCATTCATTGTATCCGTGATGATGGTCGGAAGAGCCATTGGACTTATGGTATCTGGTGCAATATCAGATAGGTGAGCTACAATACAATTCTGTTTGTATTTAAAATAAAAGATATATAAAGTTGAAAAAAGCATCATTTTTAGATTTGGTCGTCGTCCAATATTTCTCTCTTCAAGTTTCCTGTTATTTCTAACTGTTGTGGGCATGGCGTTTTCACAAAATATATACGTGTATGGAGTATTCCTCACACTATCCGGAGCGCTATCTATTGTACAATATTCTGTCATATGTGTTATAGGTAAGTACAAATGGAATCAGACAAACTTTATTTCACCCTAATATGTAGATATACTGCGAGATAAGATTGTTATTCAGAACTGGCCAAGTGCTGAGCCTATTAGCGACAATAGATTGCAAACTTCAGTTGCCAGACTTGAATCGTTCACCAATAGCATATTAATATCGGCGGACATCCTTGTGGATAAATCAGGGTTATGATGGCCGGTCGTAAAAGTTCTGACAAAAATGCTCTTAATTTGTTAAAAATGCTTGTTGCAGGCACGGAGATGGTCGTTCCAAAATACAGGAACTTTGTTGTTTTGACTGTACAATGTGGATATGTGTTGGGATATGCCACCCTGCCGTTAATGGCATATTTAAGTCAAAATTGGCACGTTCTACTCTACATAATATCTGTTGGTTCAATAGTGTTTGCTGTGGGATATTGGTAAGCAGCGTTTTCAATGTATGAGTTACATTTCCCGTGTATTTGAGTTTAGTACAGTACATCAGTTGAATATTAATCCAAAATACTGCTCAGCGAGGCCTCCGAACATATTTGATTCACAGCATATTCAGTTATCGAGTATGGTCCGCGATATAGCTCTATCCGCTAACAGAACATAATTTTGAGGTAAAGACCACGAGTGCAATGTGGTTAAAACTACTGTTTGCTGAATTTAAATATACGGTATATACAAAAATGTCATTTTTCTACTGCAAACATTTCTACAACTATGAAACTTACAGCTCCACGAAGTTCGGTTATTGTTTATTCAAAGGTATTTTCCCGAAACGTTACAATGGCTAATTTGCAAAGGTAAAATTGAAAATGCGAAAACGTTGGTTAATGAAATTGCCAAGCACAACAAGATTGATTTTGAAGAACGGACCGAGACACTTATACAAAAGGTTGAGGGATATGTAACTTTGAATCATTAAATGTAATCATTAAAAGTAAATGCGTGTGTGTGACACAATTCTTTTTTTTCCCCTCAGGATGAAAACGAAGAAGCAAAGTTGAAAGAAGACATTTATGCAGGAGATTCAAGTGTGTTTGCTATGCTGAAGAATCCGGTTATGAGGTGTAGATTAATTGTAACAACCTTCGTATGGTGAGTACACGAATTTACGAAGTAGACATGCTGTAATTGAGTTTCAAATTTATCACGGCAATTGGGGAAGCCCTAACAGTGGCTTAATCGTATGGTGAACTAGGGCAGTGCTCTTCAACCGAGTACACAGTATACTGGACCATAAGTTGTGTATACAATTGATAAAGGGTATACAGCCTAAGTCAGGGATTCTAACTAATATAATGAATTATATAATATTCAAGCGGAGACAACAATGCAAACGTGACGCACATGAAATATAAAATGGTATTTACGCAAATAACCGACTCAAGCACATTGTTACGTCACAAATTATATAGATAATGCGGGCACGTCTGGGTTGGTGATTTTGGCTGCCATGCATGTTGCTTGATTTACATCGTGCAATATTCCCGTTCACGCTAAAGGAAGGCAGTCAAATCACAACGTTTATAACTAGCCTATTAGATTGCATGATGATATTGCAGTACAATCTGTGCTTGAAATTTAATGTTTATTTAGGTATTGAATGAACATTGGTATTTGTAAGGTATACAAAGTTCTTGAAAAATTGTAAAAGGTATACAACGGTATAAAAGGTTGAAGAACACTGAACTATGGTTTCTTCCCCTGTTCTTATTCCGGATCGAAATGCTGTTAGCGAATGTCGGGCTATCACGTCGTACCAAAATAAGGCACTCTTCGCCAGCAATCAGCAACGCCATGCAAAATTTTTGTTATTTAAAATATTAGCAACTGTATTGACACGAATTTGATATCTCTTTCATTAATATGCAACAAAACGTCAGCATAATAAATGTAACATTATCACACAGGTTTGTCACTAGTTTTGTCTACTATGCGATCACATTGAACACCAGTTACCTACAAGGAGATCGTTACATCAACTGTCTCTTAGCTGCGATATTGGAGATTCCTAGTATTGCTTTAGCTTACTGGATGTTGAACAAAGTAGGTCGAGTAAAGACATCGGTATTCTTCTTTTTTGCCTCAGCAATACCGTGCATTGCTGCTCCGTTGTTAGAACAAGGTGCAGCTTTATTTATTTATCTATGGTCTAAGTTTTTGTTTCACTTTTTTCTTTCATATATAACTATTTCTTTATATATATGCGTATTATATTAATCTTCGTATTTGGTCTTCTGATCCAGTGTTTTGTAATAAGCATAGCCCAAGTACTCATGTAGTTTGTTTTGTTTGATGACTACTTTATTTATTTGGACTCCGCTAGATAAAAAATTTCATAAGTCTCCAAATACTGTCAAAATTATTCATAACGGAATAACGACTTGATCTTCATTCTGTAAGCTTCATTCTATTATTCAATTGGACTCCACTAGATAAAAATTTCATAAGTCTCCAAATACTGTCAAAATTACTCATAACGAAATAACGACTTGATCTTCATTCTGTAAGCAGTATAATATCCAATTAAATCATTTCATCTTTCATTAGCTTCTCAAACAGCTATATCGGTGATGGCAATAGCTGGGAAAACTGCGATAAGCGGTGCATTTTACGTTATCTATATTCATACGGTCGAAATTGCACCAACGTTGCATAGAAATTTGTTCATGAACGTTTGCAGCGCGTTCTCCAATATTGGATCAATTTTATCTCCATATGCGATGTTTATAGGTAAGAATTAATTTATACGTGTATTAAATTTGGGAGCATCAATAAAATAATAATTAACAAGCGTCCGACCTCGTATTAGTCTAGTACCGAATAAAAAGAAGTATCGACGTAAATTTGATGTGCGCATGTTCACTAAACGCCGTGAGTACTTCTAGTTGGCGTGACACAAACATTTTTGCATAATATGTTATTCCCAACCCCACCTGACTGCGTCATCCAAAAATTACTTCAACACGACGTCACTATCACGCCATAGAACTTGCCAAAGACGATAAAGAAATCGCTCACGCCAGCGATCTCGACGAGACGAGAAAACGAGCGAAATAGCCTATTGACTTCGGGTGATCGTCTGCGCGTTTTGGAAGAAAATCCGTATATTTTGACGGCCCTTATTACTTATCGATCTTAAGAGGTAGGTATAGGTAGGTATTTGTCTGTTAGATGGACGCGATATCTCACGAGAACGAGAGTTGAATCAGCTCCAAATTTTGCATGTGCTTTCATCATATCTCGGACCAGAAGCCGATGGATTTTGGACGAATTATGTCGTATAATTAGCGAGTTATTAAATAATTAGTGATGGGACACGCGGTGTCACTATAGAGTCATGAATCGAAACCGCAGTTTCCAACGATAAGTCTTCGGTCTCCGACCGATATTCTCGTTTCGTCATTGTGATGTAATTTTTGGATGACCTAGTCAGGTGGGGGTTAGAAATGACATATGCGAAATTGTTATGCCACGTCTACTAGAAGTACTTTACAGTGTTTTGTATAAAATCCATACAATTTTTGCTAGAAACTTCTTTATCTCAACTAAACCTCTCTAGTGCACTTGGACCTACTGTTTTAGTCACAAGGGTGGAACAAAGTGAGCTATCTCTGTTTGGTATTGATGAATATATAAAATTTCTTTTCAGCTTTTCATGTGTCGAGTTCGTTTTAGACGATCTTCAATTGTTACACTATGGTTATTTTTTCCAGGTAAAACTTCGACCTCGCAACTTGTGATTTACCTACTAATGGGAGGGCTATCTGCTGTGGCAGGTATTTTAATCATGATTTTTCTGCCTGAAACTGTTGGGTCGCCCCTGCCAGGGACTATACAGGAAGCGGCGGAACAAAAAACGTGAGATAAATCATAAATACGTAAAAAAGTATAAATAAGCTGGAGAGTAAAACGTCATATCAGAGTTCATGTACCACTTTGATGCCCACTTAACGAATCTTCACACAGGATTCACAACATATACCGTGTCGATTGGTACTCCCATACTTTACGACTTACGTAATCACAATATCGGCTTATAATATTCAATTTCTGATAAAATACCAATCCCTAATATATATTAGAATTTCAAATACATGTTTAGGCAGCTTATCCAATTTTTAATCTACCTCCTGTCAAAATTGTGAGCAATTTGGCAGTAGTGATCAAAATACGTGTACGCCTAAACCTCATTATTTTTGATATTTTGCTGATAGTTACGCTTCCGCTGCAGCGGATTGACAAGCACGCAAGAGATTTATGTAAAAACTGTCGCTGCCGTTCTCAATTGCTTCACTAAATAGAACAAAAACACGTAAGGTTGCGACCAGTAACTTGTGTCTACTCTCAGTCGCCTTAATCAAGTATTTTTGGGTCACAGTGCACAAGGTTTTAAACTTCAATTACATTCGATATGCTGCTAATGTGACCTAGCATATCTAGCCCGAAATGTATGTGGCGATTTATGCCTTTATTCATAAACAGCATCAATCATACTATTTACACAACACCCCGAATAAACTGAAATTAGATTTTCCACCTTTACTGTAAGCCTAGTCATACATAAAAACTGTAACAACGGGCCAATAGAAATATTTGGTATTTTCTTTTGCAGGTTAATTCAGATGAGTTACTGCTACCGCAAGAGGAGTGAAAGATCGAAACCTCGGCAAAGATGAAAATGAAGATAAAATTAAAAGTTGCCGTACTAATGCCATGTACAAATATAAGCCTAGATATTTTCAGATATGGTTTGTCATTGTATGCTATTTCATCAACATGGCAAATATACGATGCCCCACTTAACCAGCATGGCTAACAATGCGTAGCATACTTAATCAAAAATGCACTTGAAATACTATTTCAAAACTTTAATAAAATATATATTAATACCGTCTTACTATAGCGTACTTAATATTATTACCCGGAGCGGGGGTTGAAACTGCACGCTCGGCAAGTAAACGATATACCGTACAACTGACGCATTTTTTCGCTACTCATTACGAAGTGCCGTATAACAGCTATATTGTTACGATGTACATCTGTAATAATTGGTCCTTTATATGAAGAGGACGGGCAGAAATAGCTCACCAACGTTAAAATGTCTAGCGTTTTGGATGCGTATTGTATATATATATATACTAAAATGCCCGATATTCGACAATTCGTTAAAAATATTCTAATTATTCGATTCGATAAAAATTTTCTTTATTGCCCTCTTTTGCTATCTGTAATGGTGGTATTCCAAACACTGATGCAATGAAACTTGACAAAACCTCCATTAAATTTAGTAAATTGCACTACTTCACGAAAGCGTGATAGAATTGACGATTATTTCATATCTCAAACACAAAAACAGTTACCTCTTTCGTATAGTTTCTGTGGTCTGAAAAGTCGAATAGGCGTTTCGACATAGACATAGTAAATGCTATGATCATTGCCATCAATATATGCTCGGGCCTTGCACGAAATTTATAACGTGAAAAGGTACGTCCAGCGGTTTATAACAACTTTGAACCAATTTAGTGTTTTTAGCGATAATAATTAATTGTTGTAATGAAATACAGTTTGATTGCCTTTTTCATTTCTATCGAAAGTGCCGACAATAACCCTATTGAATGATTTGGCAATGGGAGAAACATTTTAAATTGTAACAAATATGAATTGGGTTGTCCAAAAGTTAGAATACCTGTTATAATAATATGGGCGTAACGTGGAACGGCGACCAAATGCGAAGCGCGTGATCGGCTGTGAGTTTGAACACAATGTGTTACCCGTGCGGCCGCAACAATATTGTAAGGTGCTCTCGTGTAGGCTACATTATTGTAAGAAAGCAGTTATAATATCGGTAACTATTAAACATAGCTCGACTATCGCACTTTTCGGAATGATGAATTTGTGAAGCGGAAACAACATGTGTTCAAATATAGACAAAACTATCGGGCAGGCATAACAGCGTTACTGACATTCGTCATTAGTATTCTATATCTGTTACTAGAACAGGGTATGATCTATTTATATGAATAATATTCCTTTTATGATCTTCTTTGTGACTTTATGAGTAGAAATTTCTTGTGATAGGTGTGCCGCGAATATTGGAAGTGCTCAATAGTGTGTCGCGATATAAAAAAAAAAGTTGGGAACCACTGGGTTACAGAGAATCACAAAAACTTTGTTCGCGGGACGCAGTTTGCCGACCGCTGATTCACATTCTAAGGCAGGGTGGTCAAAGCCCAGGCCCACATGTGGCCCGCCGCTTCACTATCTGTGGCCCGCGTCGCATTTACCAGCGGGTAAACAAAAATCGCATTTGGTATTGTTTCGTCATAAAAATCTTTTGACATGTTGTTATCCAACTTCGCTAGTTGCCTCAGCTAGCCACAACACTAGTCAATTCAGTGACATTAGTGATGTAATGTGCTTGGCTAGTCTAAATTGTTGACTGGCTTTCTATCATTTTGGTCGGGAATATATGCTAACAAAAAGGCTTTATACAAAACTAAGAATTGAATGAGAAATCTATTAGTCTAGGTTGGCTATATGCCTGATAACTAAATATTAATGTTATGGCCTAACAATATGATTCCTGCTGGATGGTTTTTTGCAACCAGCCTGAACATAAACATTATCACAAAAAATGCTGCTTATATGTCAGAGAATTTAGTAATTAACTCAATGCTTGCTTGATATGTCTGCAAGTCGTGTCAGTGACAATCTAAAACGGCACTTTCTCCGTTATGAAGAGTTTGAAATCTTACACTAAATGTAGATACAGTAAGATTTTTGCACGTTTTAGTGAGTTTTTTGCATGTTTTAGCTTGATAATGACAAATAATGATCATTGTGTTTGGGCAAGAAAAGTGTTTGTTTTGTATTGCACTATTTACCTATTCTTTACCACTACTGCACTATTTACCTATTCTTTACCACTACTGTGGCCCGCGAACAATACAAAAATAATAGTGCGGCCCCCCGAGGCCGACAACCTCGGACCAAAATTTAGAAAAATTCCAATTTGGGGAACATATAATAAATTAGCAAAAAAACATTTTTAGGGTGAAATATGCGATTTTCGGTAGTCATTTACGACAAGTTTGAAACATACTTTATTTTTTATTTTTTTAGAGCAAGACTTTATTGATGTAATGCAAAAAATATCAAAATTTAAAAAAAATCCAATTTGGGGAACATATAATAAATTAGCAAAAACCATTTTTAGGGTGAAATATGCGATTTTCGGTAGTCATTTACGGCAAGTTTGAAACATAATTTAACGATTATTTTTCTAGAGCAAGACTTTATTGATATACTGCAACAAATATCAAAATATAGAAAAATTCCAATTTGGGGAACATATAATAAATTAGAAAAAACATTTTTAGGGTGAAATATGCGATTTTCGGTAGTCATTTACGACAAGTTTGAAACATACTTTAACGATTATTTTTCTAGAGCAAGACTTTATTGATGTACTTCAAAAAATATCAAAATTTAAAAAAATTCCAATATGGGGAACATATAATGAATAAACGAAATCAAAGTTGGACTGAAATCCGGCAAACAATACCGTTGAATGCATAGTGTTTTTGTTTTCCGAAGTAAGATTCTGAAATAAAAAAAAAATTGGGACTCGTGGGAACATATAAAAAATTAAGTTCCAATCAGGAACATTAGGTTGTATAATAAATAAACCAAAATCCCATCTCGATGATCTCATGACATCCGCGCTTCATATGACATCGTGTTACATTAGTGACAGAATTAGGTTTACGATTTATCTTCTTGCAGAATTGGATGCTGGGAGTTGGCGGCCAGGGTAACCCAGGTGTTTTAAGGTGACGTGTTTGGGCAATGGGCAGAAAAATACTGAATTTCGTTAGGCTATGACTATTGTCGACAGAGAAACTAGACATAAATGACACTAATCGTACCATTTCTTCCGCAACATCTTTTGCCAGAAATAAGACAAAAATTCGTGCGTAATATTGAGGCACAGATGAAATGTAAATGGGACTGGATTCTGTGACTTATTGCGCTCATATTACAACTAAACCGGTTTGTTTGGTCCAATGTTTTCAGCTCAGCACCAAAGCACTACTTTTTTACAGGTTATATTAAATTAAATAAAACACGCGTCCCTAGTCCAATGCATCCAAGTCCGAACAGGTTTTTCATTTAGTAGCCTAAGACAAAAAAATGCTATCAGGCTCAGCCTTCGGACTATTCAGATCCGTTTAACGAGTCTTATTGATAGAAAAGTCCGGATCAGTGTCACAGCACACAAACGCAACTTAACTTTAACTGGCTCATTCATCAAAGTTCGGGTGACATAATTCAAAATGCTTTCCGTTTTATCATGAAAATTTGAATGTTAGACTACCGGTACGATAGTATTTCGCAGCTTCAACTGTCCAATACTTTGTCGTTTATGAAATAAAAAAAATCAATAGAAAAGAGAAATAAAAAGAATACTTTACTTATTTCGAAATTTCAATGCAGCCACGTCCAAAATTCCTTCGACGTCACCCATTTTTCTTGTCTATCTATTCACAAATTCCACCATACGTGGCGACGTCCTTGCAAATATTTATAGCAACACCGTCGTGAATCGAACGTTGCCACAATGAGTAATGATTATTTTCACGCCTCACATTTAATAATATTATTTAATAATTATTTTCGAGTCCGCAGTCGTAAGAATTTATGAATCAAAACATTTATTTGAATATAGTTCTGTACATCTAGTGGCCGCGTGTCATTGTATATGCGCCATTAGTCAAAGACAGAAATTCGTCGGTTTCATTCAAAGGTATCAATCAAACAAGTGCGCAAGCCTGCGCTATTGAAGAGAGGTTAAGAGAAAACGACGCAACACGCGTCGCCCTCGAATAAACAAACTTAAAGTATATCGCTCATCAATAAATCATTGCGATTAATATACAACATATATATTATTGTATTGTCAGTTCGACCTTTAGCTTGGCGACTGGGCTTTGATTGACAACTCCCCTATGTGAACATTTAACATACGTTGTTCGCGCTACTGGCTTTCGACGTCACACGTATATAAAAAAAAACTCAAGATTTCTTGGAAAGCCTAATGAGCTATCATTTTTCTGTCTGATTCAAAGGTTAATATTTATTTATTATGAGTTTCTGCAACGCATATCAGTATCTGAAAATAGTATACGTTAATCGACCAATTTTCGATGCGTGCAAACCACCTTTGAAGATTCGAACCTAGGCATCGCTATGCGAAATTGGTTACCATTAGGACATGCCTTACTTTGTTATAGAAACCGACGATAGACATAAAAATTAAACCAAGCTGCTTATAATTTAGCAATGGTAGTTTTCTATTGGCTTAAGTCGTGCCGGAAGGAAGTCTATTTAGAGATTTATGCTATCAAAAACTAGTCTATTTGGGTACAATTTGCATAGTCATTGAGAATGGCAGACAGACAGACAGCTCTGAAAACAGCCGAGAGAAAACATAATGAAATAGAGTTAAATTATTATATTGTATTTTATTATGGTATTCGTCTCAGTCTTGGGTGCTTTTTGGTAATTATTTAAAGATGTCTTATTTCAAATATATAGACGAATTATTTAAATAAGTTGAATATGCAAATCGAGAAAATATATACAATGTTGTATTTGTAGGATTAAATTTTCTATTTTGATGTTGCCAAAAATCCAAACTCCACCTGGCATAGTTAGTTCATGCTCTACCTGATTTAGTTTACCATAATATCACCTGTTCAGCAAAAGAATTGCGCGGCAACTTCTTTTTCTATTTTTCGAAGATAAAATTTATAGTTAAAAGCACTAATTTGTTCAGACTGGAAAATTTCTCACAGTCGCGCCAGTTATGCGGTTTACTTTCGAAAAGTCAATCAATTATCGTTTTAAATATTTTAGTATTTTTACGAAAGCAAAAGGTCACGTGGCCGTTTCAGCATTTATTTTCAATTGAACTCGAAGCGTAATTGTTAGAATATCTTGATATAGCTAGAGATGTTTAACGAATAAAATCCATATTCTCCATGTGCGAAATCAAACATATATATATTAGATTTCCCCTGGCAGAAATATTTATGCTGTCTTTTAATTGCGAATTTTTGAAGATGTCATTATATCGAAAAGTGGCAAAATGTAAATAAACAAACGGGACAGGTTACATGATAATTTAGCAAGTTGTAGTCGTCATAGAAATATCAACTGGCGAGGGTACATTGATCGAACGCGATTTGCAAAGACTTGCTTATCTTCTATAAAAACTCATTGAGAGCACACCGTCAAAATACAAGGAAAATAATTAATAACCAACTATAAAATTTTGGTTAACGAGTAAGTAGGACAAACCAGGAAGCAAGGAAATATAACTTATCGTCAGACATGCTCCAACTCAGACGATTTAAACTGTCACGACTTTTTGACGACTTGGGCGAAATATTGCTGGAAGCTTCAGAACATTCGTTGCGAAGTGGTATAACAAGTTTTGAAATGTCCGTTCTAGATTACTTGTAACATCGGCTATCGTACGCGATATGAAAAGGGTGTATAAACAGAAGGAATAGCTTCGAGCATAGCAAAAAGGTTTTGATAAATGATATACGTGCAGAAGTGTAAGGACTCGAAGTCTCGGACTAACCAGTGCCAACCGAAATAGTAACCAATTCACAATTGTTTGAGTTTCTTTTCCATTCTATTTGTCCTTTTCGTACAACTGACTGTTTTGGCTTAATAGTTTTTAATTAATACTGATTCCAATATATAATTTGTGTATATATTACGTTGATATGCGTAAGTTGTACACTTCATTTGCGTAAACGTTGCGTCAATCACAAATTAAGACCAATTTTAGTCTGTTTTGAGATATTTAAACGATTAATTCGATGTTAAATCGTTTTGCTTTCGTATTACGAAGAAATTAGGCAAATGATGATCATGGTTTGTCAGAATACATATTAGTATGATATAAAAACTAAAGTAATTTTGTATTTGCAAGTAATCTGCAAGACCTTATTAGTGTATTACGTGAAAATCACACTATAACTTACTATAGTTTTCCATCTTCACGCAAGGTTTAAACATAAATCGTCATATTGTTGATTCTTGTTTTATACATTATAACGGAATTTGAAAACCTATGAGGAAATTATTATAGACACACTTTACTACAAGAAAGATTATAGTTCACGCAAAAATATCAAGGAATTATAAGAAAATTGTCTGGTATAAGAACTTCAAACAGTCGTTCACTATGCCAAATATGTTGGCGAAACGTGCCAAATTGTAGATTATAATTGACATTAAGGCGTGCGAAAGTGGTTATAAGGGATTACATTGCGGATTAGCCTCAGCGTAGAAAATTCAAACCAGTTTGTTGCGGAGGTTGGATTAGAAGTCGCTGGTTATCTCATTTGTTGAATTAATACTGTTTCATAAAGTTCATACTGACCACATTTGTATATTGCACATCAAGGCAATATTCAAGTTTGTTTATCAACATGAGGAGCGATAAGCAGCGCACTTAATGATATGGTAATTAAGAGCAATATGGTATGGTTGATTCGAAAGTTCACCGAAGCATATGTAACCAACACGAGTGCTATTACGATACATCATTTATACTTAATTTTGCAATGAGCGCATAATAAAGTATTTCTGTTAAAATATATAGTTAAAATATAAATTGGTCACGAATTGTAGATCGGGCAGCTTATCGAATAAGAATTTTAATCGAGGTCAGAGTTGAAAGCGAACTCGTGGGCAATGAATGACTGACTTAAATATGAGTTGGTTTGTAACTTATTGTATGATTATATTATTTGTTAGAAGATCTGAACTAGCTGAATTAGATAAATTGATTGTATATTTTATTAGTAGTGCGTGATACATTGTACAAGACATAAAGGAATGCTATATAGACAAGCTTAGTGCTTGCTAAATTTTACTCAAACCTGAAGCACGCTCGATCCTAACTTTGGGACTGACTAACATTGGGCAATAGAGTCGCAAGTCGAAACTGCATGAACCCCAAAATTGCCAGAAAGATAAAACAGACAATCGATCAAACGGCGGACATTAATTGTGGTCGATTCGCGTTAAAAATTACATAATCACGTTTGTTTAATATGAAGAAAAGAAACAGAATGATTCCGCAAAAATGTGTGTAGGACAAATATGATAGAGCTTCTTTGCATAAATATTTTCATTCATTCCCTGTCATCCTGAAATACAGTTCAGAATGTAAACGGAATGTATTTTGCATCCATAAATTACATTTAAAAGAGAAACAGATTTATTGGGAAGCTCACGTAATGAAATACAACTCGAAAGGCAGCAAGCCAACGTAGAAATGGAGATATTTATAATTCTGCGTGTATTCGTTGTTATACATACCTTCGTAGCTGGAACCAAAAGTGAGCTAATTGTATAGTTATACGACTACTGCTTTATCCCCTTTCTCACCTGACTTGAATCCTCAATAACCCAAATCTATAGTTCATTTTAATGCGAATGATAGTTTAATGGACATTTAGAACTAGCACAAAACCTAATTTAATAACGTCAATCATTCTGGTAGGATCTGTTCTACAAGATTGATGAGAATATGTTTTTTGTTGTTTTCAAATTTAAGTCATGTCCCACATGACCTCCAATATAGTATTAAATTACTTTTCATGTGTTAGTCTTGATTTCAATATGTATTTTCAAGACATAAGTGCACACTTTCATGCCAATTTACAGGCCTCGTATGTCGGAGCTGCCAAGGCGATCCGGAAGCATGTGCTCAGTCACGGAAAACCCAAACATGCCAGTACTTTCCTGGTGACCCTAACAGTACAGAGGTAAAGTAGTTGTACCTTCTCGTTTGTACGAGATAGCCTACTAATTTTGCCTATATATTTTTTTTTTTTGGAAAGTTGACTGATAATCGATATATTTGTGAAATGTTTTTAAAATCAGAATATCGGCACCCAGTATAAAAAAACTGGCAACGGTAGGAAGGACTAACGGCAAAATTACAACCAGCATAAGCGATACGTAATCTGGTTACTAAAGAGTTCTTCTTTCTACTTATTATTTTATCAAATATTGATAACATTAGACTTTAATTGTTTATCCATTTGTTTCAAACGTTCAAGGTAATGAACCCATTAGTTTAACGGCAGTCGAAACAAGATAAACATTTCCCAGTTTAACGAGGCTACATTTCAGATGTACCATTTTATTTACAGATATGTGCAAGCTACTATACATGGGACAATGGAAAAGCTACTGTTCAAAAGATGTGCAAAGCGCGAGCTTCCTGCCTGAGTGATGCCGCTCAGGTTCGTAAAAACTGAATCGTTTGAGCAGTGCAAAATTATGTGTCATCTAGTCTACATTCTGTCCCTTACTTGCTATTTTCATAATAGCGGTTCACCAATCCAACAACTTTTTACAGTGTCAATTTTTCGACTTTTTTTGTACAGAAAGATAATGTGTGCGGTATACATGATGGTAAAGACAAGCCATGTCGATGTTGCTGCGAGAAAAACCATTGTAATAGACTACCCAAAGGCTGTATAGGTACATTGCTTTGTTGTATATATGGACATTTTACCCTTTCAATAAGATACATATAAATAGTTCCATTTCTACGAAACAGGGTAAAGCCTAACAAATAAATACAACAAATGAAGGGACAATATTACTACGAGGTTTCAGCTTAGTGAAATAACTATTATCAATTTTAACAATTGAAACTGTGAACAGTAAATACCCGCAAGATGTAAAATTTGTAAACTATGACATCACATCTATAATTATAGCCGCGTACAAATCGTGATCTCGTCGTGACCTTTTAGGTCATCAGTTCAAATTATAAGTTATGATATAATTGGCATGCTTTTTGCTGTAGTACATATTTGCCAACGCATCGTAAATATCTATTACTTACATTAATACTGCAAAACACTGTCGATGTACCTTACAACAGAATCCGGAAATAGCTTCATAATTTCCCAACTAACGAATCTATACTCAATCACCACAAAGTGTATGAAGCTATTTACTTTTAACATTTCGACACACATTGCCCAATTTGTTATGACATGGGTGCAGCACTGGGGCGACCAAAGGGAAATTGAATTATATTTTCGATATTATTTTAACAGTTGATTCAGTCTGTCCAAGAACCAAGAATTTAGACAACGGATTCGTAGAATGTGGTGAATCAAGAAAACGAGGCAGCAGATGCAACTTTAATTGCAATCTTGGATTCGAATTAATTGGTCCCAAAATATCAAGATGTATGCTCGATAGGAGAACAGGTAAATTAAAATGGAATAACAGAGGGCAATACTGCGTTCCAACTGTACGATGCCTACCGGCGCCAAAAGCCCCTGAAAACGGGTCCATGAGCTGTGTAAATGTCCACCGCCACAGAGATAAGAGTGATCTCAACTACTTATGGGCAAAATGCTCTTTTGCTTGTAATGTTGGTTTCCAGATAGTCGGTAAAGCGATTTCTCGATGTCGAGAAACTGGGAAATGGAATGCAGATTTTCCTCAGTGTATTGCTCGTCAATGCCCGTCATTTCCAATTGCGGAAAATCGTCAAACTATTTGCACAAATGGGCATCTAGTAAACAGTATTTGTGCCTTCAAATGTAGCAAAGGATATAAATTGATTGGAACAACAAGCGTTGTTTGCAAAAGTGGTTCAAAAGACGCAAACACGCAAGAGTGGACGAGAGATCCTCCGAAATGCATGCGCGTCAAGTGTGAGCCGATCCAGCAAAATCCTGTCAACGGTAAAGTTAAATGCACAAACAAAAATTTCGAAAACAGTGTCTGTCGTTATACTTGTGACGCAGGGTATGACTTGGATGCAACAACAGATGATGTAATAAAAACGACGTGTGAAGACGACGGTGGGAAGGATAGTCTAGGAAAGTGGTCACATGCACCAGCGAGATGTACCCGCATAACATGTATGCCTGAAATGACGAAGCCTGTCAATGGGAAACTTTCCTGCACAAACAGGAATTACTTGAATTCAGAGTGTGATATATACTGTAACATAGGACATGATCTTGATGATACGGGTCTGAAAAAAGTTAGTTCAACATGCGAAGCAGATACGGATGGGGATAGTTTCGGCATTTGGAGTCTGACACCGCCACTCGACTGTAGTCCTATCTCATGCAAGCCTAGACATATCGACCCAGCAAACGGAAAGGTTGTTTGCACACAGGAAAATAGGTACGGTAGCACGTGTACTTTTCGATGTGATGAATTCTACGACATGGATGGCACCACTAACTTGACTCTTTCATCCACGTGTGTGGAAGGCGATAACGGCGAAGCAATCGGAAAATGGACACTAGCGACGCCAACGTGCTCATTGATAACTTGCGAAGCACTATCCCCCATTACAAATGGACAATATGCGTGCACGTCGGGTAACATGAAGGGTAGCGTTTGTATTTTCAAATGTGATATTGGTTATGAACTTAATGGTGCAAGTACAATATCTTGCGAGGATCGCATAGCAATAGGGGATAATGGGGCGGAATGGACGGCGCCGCAACCATCATGTGCAAGGAGTTACTGTAATGCCCAAAAATACGACAATTCGATGCTTCGACGCGAATGTGACAAAAATGGAGTAGGCCGTTTTGAAGTAGGCACCAAGTGCACTTATACCTGTATAAAAGATGGACATTATTTAGTCAGAACTGCTTCTTCAGATGACTATGTAAAATTCGGAAATTTAGTAGTAGAATGCTTGGGAAATAAAGATTGGTCCTCAGCACCACCGAAGTGTCTACCCCTTAAATGTCCTACTCTGCCGACACCTAGAAATGGATATCCTCCGGAATGCTCTAACGGAAACTTTTTTTTGTCAAAATGTGATTTTCAGTGCCACGCAAAATATGTACCAACACACAATTATTCTTCAATATGTACAGGGGACAAAAATAAGCAGAATAAATTTGGGATTTGGAGCCATAGGCCTCCGACCTGTGCAAAACGAGAATGCAATGAGTTTCCTATGGTTAGACACGGGAGTATGTCGTATACAAATCACCATGAAATTGGTTCTATTGCACGTGTGAATTGTCATAATGGCTATACTGAGAAATTTTTGAACGAGTCAACGTGCCGAGCACCGAGCAGAAGTGATATGGATCCATTCTGGAGTAGAGCTAAAAGCATGTGTTGCGTCCGATGTTTTTTCAACAAGAAAATTAAAGTTGTCATTGCGATAGATAAAACTGTAGCCGATTCTGCGGACGTCTGGGAGGACATTCTGACTTGGTATACTAACATCATGGAATATTTGTTTACTAATGATTTTGAAATCAACTTCGGACTAATTTTGTACGATACTGAAGTGGATATGGGCAATAGCAAACGGTTGAGAATGATAGACACCGCAGAAGATATATATGAAATTCAAGATGAGTTGTTCGATGCACCTTACGGAGGTACAGGTGAGTGTAATGCGGCTAGTAAAATCAGTTTGAATAATTTGATATGTACTTAACAGACTAACAGCACTGTTATTTTGTAGTCTAGTATCCCACCGTTATGAATATCGTAGATCTTCAACAAGTTTTTTTAATATTTGGAGACATTTTAGTCAAGCACAATCTTACATCACCCAGTTTGCTGATGTAACGGCGGTGTCTTTGATTTAATAATAATAGAGTCACAGATAAAAACCAAACGAGATAATAGAAATGAAACAATTCATGGTTTTACTTTTGAGAAAAAAAATGAGAGGGTATTTTCTTGATGACTCGGACCAATATACAACATACCTATCGTTTCCAAAAGTCATTCATGATTTCGCGCTAATTTTGACTTTTTCGAGAATGCTACCACCCACGCCCCTATCGCCCCCTTTGGGTTATTCGCTCCTATTTTATCCTTTGGTGGAAATATCACTCACTTCGAGAATCACTGATATTGACAGTGCTCTAACTGCAAGCGTTACAATCAGTCTACGATTTAGATTAAATGTTCATACATTTAGTCTGCATAGAACAAATTTTTGACCAGTTTTGTGCAATATGCACGGGTATAGTCACAATTTCTGATGAACAATGAATAAAAATTACAACAAAATCATATCTTCAATTCACAGCTAATTACTATTTATATATTATGTACAAATTGTGTCTAAAATGAATTGAAATACGTTGAAGATTTGTATTCCTCTGCATTGAATGTACGAAGAAAGGTCTAACAAAAAACAAAAATGCAAAAACATTTTTAGTTTAATAGCAATACACAATAAATATACGTTATTGTCATCTTGGTCAGGTTCTGACACGGGACTGGCTCTGGAGTACATGTGGTCAACAATGTTTCAAATACGTAAGCAAGAAGAACCTTTTCTAATATTAATCAAAAACTTGGAATCTTCTACCTTTTTTATTGAACAAGCACAGCGATCGAGAAATGAAGGATTGAATGTGAGTAATAGGCTAATTGCAGTACTGAAGTTCAACAAAAAATGAATGCATTTTGATATTGGCTTTGTTAGATTACACTCATGAAACAATCACTTAAATGCAGAATGTAAAGTTAAAGGGTCGATAAAAAGAAGTGATCTGAATGTTTTAGTTACATTTGGAAGTCAATGTGCCAACGAGAAATTCTCGTCCAACACGAGTTAAATTTTATGGAAAATGAACTGTATGTATTATTTGTAACAGATTTTGGCTCTTGGATTCGCAAATGGAAATCTTAGCGAGCGGAAAAAACACTTGGTATCTATTGCTGGGAACGAACGGAGCGCATTTCTCATAGAAGAAATAAATGATCTTGCTAAAGTTGGAGAAAGAATCGAGCATATATCAAAACAAAAAGGTTGTGAACTCGCTAGAAAAAATCGACGTTGTTTGAGATGAAATTTAATTCGACAAATCCGGGGCGAGGTCTGCTTGGAATTGCAGTGAAATAACATGGGCGTTCCAATCAAAGGTCTGCTGATCTGTAGCGAATGCAAAGGTTCTAAAATTAAGCAACTTTTTCTATTGGAAATTGATGGAGCATAGGATCTAGTATACTGTTCAAACTTTCACTCTCCTGGACAAACTTCGAAAGCTCATATGCAATAATAAAGATTAAAATTTGAAAACCAGGTCAGCTTGAAATTGTATGTAGTCTGACTGCTTCAAAGTTCACACGTTGTATTTAACCAAGAATACCCGAAAGTAAACTTTGAAGTAAAATTAGACCAATAGATATTCCTGACTTTATGTCCCTTTTATATCCATATACGGACGATTGAATGATGCGAACGTGAAAAAATGTGGATTTTTTTCTAGCCATGCCCGACGAAAAACCTAGCAGTACTTTGGACTTGAGGGCTAACCTTAGCTTCGTGACATGATGAAGCCTTTATCATCGTACAATAATAACTCAAATTTTCTTCACTTTGAATTAATTTCTCATGACTTATGTTCAAAAATTTTACAAAGTGTTACAGTTTTCTCGCAACTAAAAAATAATAAGGGAACTTGGATATTGTGTATTGAACTGCAGGTCCTTTCTTCTTGTTTACTTTGTACTTCGGGTCCGTATGTGGTACTCACCACAAGGATGCTTGAACGAGATAGTATTAAAGTGATAAGTAAAAATAACATGATCTCTTTCAACGAAATAGTAAGTATATTTGTGAGCTTTTGTTAGATCATAAATAAGTAATTTAATAATAAACAAATAATAAAAAAACAGACCTCAGCGTGTACGAAACCAAGAATACATCATTTGAAACGCAATAATTTTGTAGTTTTTTTTACGTCGTGTGTGTACATTAAAGTTACATTTTTTCTGTGATATTTACTTTGTAATTAGAGTTCTAAACATATAAAGAAGTCCTACTTTTATATTTAATGTTTTCTCTTATTTCTTTTCATATATATAATAAAAGCTGCCGAATACATAGGCTGTATAGTGTGTAGAAGTAGTCATGGAAACTGAAAATACAAACAGAAGAATTTCGTTCGCAGGATCGGCGTATAACGGACCTCGGTCCATCCGGTTACCAGTCACGGTCGAATGTTGGATTTGCTATCTAGTGAAATACATAAGTGGTTTACGATAAACGCTTACCGGGCAGCGACTCACCTTGCCCATCTATTTGCATAATCATTCGTAGTCAGGGGTCTTCCAGGGCCCTTGAGACTTGGTGCCCTACATATATATAAAAAGTAATAATTATAATAACGTGTAACGTAGCGGGGTTTTTAGGCGATGGCGTTCGACGGTGATATACTGTGTAGAAAAGACCGTCTACTTCCTCGCTAAACGACAGCTTAATTGACTTTTGAATACTGGCAAATACTCGGCTATTCTGTTGCCCCAGTCCACAGGTTCACACGATAAACAGTTAAGAAATATTCACGGTGCACTTTTGTATTCAACGCTAGGATACGATACCCAGCCATCAAGGTCAGAGAACAGAAAAGAACAGTCTGCCCGATGCAACAGACAACGACTTAAAAAGAACAAGTAATCAAAAACACGTGGCAACACAACAAATGCGCAACGCATAAGCGCCACACAGTGGAATGAACGTAAGACTACGTATTACGTTACACCTCCCTTCTTTACAAAAAAAAGTAAATTTACATAATCAATTTCTTTCACACCAAATATGGGTACAAGTAAATCCTACATAAAGGAATTAAAATATATCTATACATCATCTGATTAGGATGAGGGCGTTATTACTTGAACTTGGGACAATGCAATAGTTGAAATCAAATATTGAAAACACATTAGCAATGAAATGCGATAATTACAAAATTCACACAGTAGATAACGATTACATTGAAAATACAACAGCAATGTAATTTTATGATCTAAATGTGAGAATACAATTACAATAAATTCACACCCATAAAAATATGAAAATACTGAAATAAAATAGAACTAATACAATTCAAAATTATCAAATCTGGTAGGTAATTTTGAAACACGAGTTTTTGAAACACAGGGTTTGATTTGTGAAGTACTTGGAATATCGGGTACACCACGACAAACCAAAGATTCACGTCTAGTAAAAAAGGGTTTGAGTCTATTAAAATGAACTCGAATACTAGGATGACATTTCCTAATATTTTCATCAACGGGTTCAATCAGAAAATTCTGATTTTCCAAAACTTTAATAATTTTGTAAGGGCCATTCCATAAATACGCAATCTTAGTAGTTTCACCAATAGGTACAGAAGGTGTATAAAGCATTTCTAAATCATTAACTTGAAAAGTATTAGTAATAGCAGTCTTATTATATTGTTTCAGGTCAAAGGGAGTATCTTTTGGTACAATTCCATAAGCCAATGTAATGGGCGGAATATCGGTCGAATCATGTATGGCAGTATTATAAGCATAACATGCCAAGGGTAAAACCAGATCCCAATCTAATTTTTAAGAAAATCGTCAAATGTGACAAAATCTGTAACAACGTTCTTTGACACCTTTCTGTACATCCGTTACCCATTGGATGAAAAGAAGTCGTTTGTGTTTTCTTAATGCCATACTCCTTACACATATCTTTAAAAATAAAACTTTTCAAAATTCGAACCTAAATCAGAATGCAAAGTTTTCGGCAGGGTATGATTACAAATCCACTCCGATACAAATAAAGGTGTTATCGTACTAGCTTTTTGGTCGGGAATTGCTACACAACGTAAAAATCTACTAAAGTTGTCAATCATAGATAAAATATACTTATTGCCGGAATTGCTCTTTGATATTGTGATAACATCACAACTTATCCGCTCGTTAATGCCACTCAAAACTGTTGGAATCAGATGTGCTTTACGAGCAGGAACTGGATTTTTCCTAGACTGACAGTTCAAACAAGATTTAACAAAATCATTTACGTCATCATACAATGAATGCCAATAATGAAATTGCATTGCTCTTAAACGAGTCTTTCTAATACCAAAATGTCCTGAAGTACTTTTGTCATGAACATGATGAAGTACTAAGGGTATCAAAACTTTGGGAACCACGATTCTATAAGAATCTTTTCCAAGGGCTGAATCTCCAAAACGTCTATACAATACGTCAATGATTTTCAAATCATCAAATTTTGACCATAAGGTTTTCAAATCTGGGGAAAAATTCTCAATCTCATCTATTTCAGGTCTTAATTTATTTTCCATCCAGCACAATACAACAGAAATGTCTGGATCTGCCTGTTGGTGTCTCATTATATAATGATTATCAAGAACACAATTATCTGCTACTGAAACTTCATGAATTTCAGTTTGGGGAATTCTAGACAAGGCATCGGCATTGCCATGCAATCTACCAGGTCTAACAATTACATCAAAATTATATTCGGCAAGAATATCTCGCCACCTACAAAACAATCTACAGGCACCTTTAAAAGATTTTAACCATTGTAATGAGGCATGATCTGTACGTATAGTAAAGCAAGTAAGTTCGCAAGTAAGTTCCAAGCAAGTAAGTTCGAAAATGTTGGACAAAGTACACAATAGCATACAGTTCTTGCTTGGTTGTGGAATAATTCTCTGGGCTTTATTAAGAGCCAGACTACCATACGCAATGATGCGCAATTCGCCATTTTGATTTTGACTTAAAACGGCTCCAATAGCTGTAATCGAAGCATCACAATCTAAAACATACGTATCCTCCATTTTATCTGAAGGAAAGGCTAAAATGGGTAGAGAAATAAATTTTTCTTTTTTAACAAATAAAATGCTTCATCAGCTTCTGAAGACCATACGAAAGTCTGTAAATTCTTAGAAGTTAGTTTGTACAATACATCAGCAATGTGTGAAAATGATGTAACAGAACGCTTATAATACGTCAAAAATCCTAAAAATGATTTCAATTCAGTTACATTCTTTGGCACAGGCCAATTTTTTACAGCAGTGACTTTCTCAGGGTCTGAAGAAATACCTACACTACTTACAACATGACCAATAAATTTACTTCACTACACAAAAACTTCGAGTCTTACGACATTGAGTTTCAATCTCGCGGAACGAATCCGCTAAAACACGGCAAATTCTGGACTTCAATTCAGTCAATTTGAAGCATACACAACTAGGGTCATCTAAGTAGCAAACACAAATTTTATATTCCAATCCTTCAACATACGTCTCATTAGTTTATACAAAAACAGCAGGGGCTGAAGTCAAACCAAATGGAAGTACATTAAACAGTACTGTGAAGTAGATGTAACAAAACTTGTTTTATATTGTCCTTCTCTGCAATAGGAATTTGGTAATAGCCAGAAGTAAAATCTAGACAACAAAAATATTAGCACCACCTAGGGCATCTAAAACATCGTCAATTCTAGGTAAGGGTGTATTCTGTTTTACTGTAACGTCATTCAAAAATCTATAATCACAACATATTCTAAGGGAACCATTCTTCTTCCTTACGTGTACAATAGGACAAGAAAATGGACTTTCACACTCTTGAATTATACCATTATCTAGCAATTCTTGTATTTGCCTTTTAATTTCACCTCTAAATGCATGTGGCTCACGCCTTGGAGGTAAACGAATCGGTCCCCCGACCGTTGGAATTTCATGTTCACATAAATTTGTTCTACCCAGATCCCATGGACTAGAAGACATGATATCTAAATTATGTTCAAGAAAAGTATACCATTCCTCCTTCTCCTAAGGAGTTAATTTCACATCATCGAAAGATACTTTCGAACGAAAATCTGAAACTTTTCTTTTAAACTACTTATCTCAGGGGGATTCTTTTTCGTGCTCTCGGTCACGTTAATATTGCAACAAGAGTGACCCGCATTGTGTTCAACAAGAATCCAGTCATTGGGCGAAGCATTAAAAGCATCACCCGAACCTATACAGGTGTAAATTCACCAGTAATTGATTTATTTACTTTCAATGAGAACGGTCCTGGGTTCATAATACGAACCGGTATTTGGGCATCAATAGAATGAAACAAAGTTTGAACAAGGCCGACTCTTTTTGCTGCAAGGAAGTCTATTTCAAAATAACCAAAAATACGGGTCGGCACAATACCACTTGACTCATCAGAAGACACAGATTGCAAATTAGTCTCGATAATATTATTGTGTTATATCTGTGTCATTATAATCATCACCCATCAGACTTCCCATTAGGACGACAGTTTCAGATGGTCGGATTACGACTTCATCTATTGACGACACTTTGTAAGTGCGTCTTGGATATGGGGTTGGTTCACATGTAAAATAAACGCAGCTTGCCCAATCTTAAGACTACAGTCATTGTAATCTAGAATGCAGGAATACTTATTAGAGAAATCGTTTCCTAACGTATCTTCTCGACATTACCCCTAATGTCTCCTGTTACAAAAAACATGTGATAGTCGTCTATACTTCCAATACGAATACGTATTTTGTTTCTACCTTTAATATTAATAGGTTCTCCTCTATAACATTCAAAATCTCTGTGTGACGGATCTATGTCCTGACTTTTGCTAGCTTTTTCCCACAGAGTAGATGAATGAAAGAGGCACCAGCACCACTATCTATGATAGTATTTGCATGCAAATTATCTCGATCAAAATGTCGGTGTAAACGGGAGTACACAGTTCCCTGTGCTGGTTAGTAACATTGGAAAGGGTGTTCGAGACTTTCTAGCATATTTTTCATATGCTTTAGTTGTCAAGGTTTTTTCAGTTTCATTTACAGGCCGTCAATTTGGTTCGGGATTTTACCTTGGAATCTATTTCTCGGGTTGGTGACTTGGCCTCGTTCCCCACCTCCCGGTGTTTAATCACTTGTGTACACATCTGGATTTGGACTGTTTATCATCCTTAATCTTTATATTCTTATATCTACGTAACACTTTCTGTAAAGCAAAACAATTCTCATCTATGTGGTTAGTCTTTCTACAATAA